ACTCTGATGAGTGAACTGTCCACCTCTTTGAGGCCACCTGTAAACTACTTAGCCCAAGGCCGGGCACATGTGACAGTCAGTCAGCAGAGCACTTGTGCTGCTCTCATGTTTATCAGCTGAAAGACAGGGCCTGCTGCTTGGCTTCTGCTGCTGGTTGGACTCCATCACAAAACTCCTCTCCTCTCTCTCTCAGCCTTTTTACTCATTCATTCACTCATTCATTCATTCATTCACTCATTCATTCAGTCGGTAATGTCTGAATTACTGAGCTGGGGCTCTGTTCCCGGCCCTGTGGAGGCTCTGGAGCTCTCGCTCAGCCCTGCACTCTCAGGGTGTGCACATGGACATGCTGCCTCCGGCTTCCCCTTTCCTGGCCCCTCTTCAAGGTTCTGGCTCCTTTCTGCTGTCTGCTCACTCTCTAGGCCTCACCTGGCTCCAGTGGCTACTTTTGGGTCCACAGCCAGGGCTGGGGCAATGGAGTCCAGGGGCCAGTTTTCCTCATAGGGGGGCGTAGAGGTAGAGGCATGCAGAAGATCCTCTCCTGGTGGAATCACCTCTCCATGGGATGAGAAACAGAGGCCATGTCACCTGCCAAAGTGTCCCCGAAAAGAAAAGCTGAGTCTGGAAACAGGGCCGGGAGAAAAGCACAACCCCCGCCCCTGTTCTGTGCTCTCTCCGTGAGAGCCCCAGTGACGAGATGGCAGAAACTGGGGCTTGGTAGTACCAGAGTGCTTGACGGGGTAATGTCCGTCATGTTTCCTTGAGGAGGGACAGAATACTGTCCCTATGAACCTTGACTTACCGGCCACCACCACCACCACCATCATCATGACCAACATCGTTATTACATGCATTTGAGGCAGATTTTCATGAAGAAGTTCTACAGTAAAAAATTTTGAAACATGAATCGCTTTCCCAATGTGTCTCTTGAATAAATACATACATTCATATGCTTTATTGGGTTTGTTTCAAATCTGTAGCTGAGAGGAGCCATAATGAATGGAAGGATGAGCGAATGAATGAAAGTTCTGCAGGGAAACCCATCCTGCTGTCTGCTGGGCCTGCCCACCTGCCCATCTGTCTGTAGGGCAGGGCTGATGGTAGCAAAGCGTCCCCATGTCTTGTTTGGATTGACATGCCTCCCATCAGAGGACGGTGGAAAGGGCGTGGCCCTCAGCACTCCGGAGTCGGGTGCAGTGCGGCTCCTGGGAAGGGCCGGGTGGCGGAGCAGCCACCATCGCACTGACGTTTCTCAACCATACACGAGGCGCTGGGCACTGAGAATACACAGTGAATAAGGCACAGTCGATGCCATCAAGGAGCCTCTTTGCACTTGTACTTGGGGTGGGCTGGGGTGGGGATCAGAGAAGGCTTTCTAAGGGAGCCAAAGTCCAGGGTAAACCTGGTAAGAAGGAATAGAACAGAGTAGACAGAATATCACGCATAGAGCCCTAGAGACAAGAAGGAACATAGAATTCAGGGAACGAGGGATGAAGAGAGGTCAAGGGGAAGGGACAGGGAGGGGGCAGGGTGTGGAGAGCCGTGTCCACTGAGCTGAGGGCTTCATGCTGACCCTGAGCCCAACTCGAGGCCGTCGCAGGGGCGTGAGCATAGGAGTCACCTGCCCAGCTATGCTGTGCACAGCAGTTTGGAACATACGGTGTTGAAGTGAGAAGATGAGCAGAACTGCAGAACAGTTCGGACCGGAGATGATGGTGGCATGAACTAGGGTGATGGCCCCCCAGGTGGAGAACAGGGCGCAGGTGAGAGAGATTTAGGAGGTGGAGTTGGCCAAGGCTCGAGAACAGAGTGAATATGGGCAGGAGGAGTTAGGACACTGCTAAGCTTTGGCTCCTGTGAGTGGCTGGTGGTACCATTCTCTGGGGCGGGACACCTGGAGAAGGGACACATTTCTGGTGGGATGATGAGTTCCGTTTTGGACACGTGGTGTTTGAGGGCCAGGGGACGTTGAGGTGACTGGATCTGTGGCTCTGAATCTCAGGAGGCTGGCCTGGGCTGGAGACTGATGTGGGGGTCACAGGCAGGAAGCTGCGGGAGCTGAGAGTGGGGCTGAGCCTGCCTGTGGGAGCCTGTGGAGAAGAGAGCCCAGCAGGGTCTAGGGAGGCACTTAAGTTTCAGGGGCGAGCAGAGGTGGAGGGCTGCAGAGAAGGGGGCTACCCGCCATGGCTGGAGCTGGCAGCATGCCTGTAACGAATGCCTTGTAGGCAAATGAGTCACCCTGGCTCTGAGGTTCCCAAGTGCACACCACAGGGGGACTTGGCACACCAGGTGCCTGCCAAGAATACGACAGGTTCCCCATGAAAGGGTGACCCCATCCCGGACAGCAATTCCCGTTTTCTGCCTCTGTGGGTCCTGCGTGCCCCTGTGTGGCTCCAGTGGATAATTGTATACAATGCATGGAATGTGGGATCTAAATCTGATATTTTCTGCTTCCTGCCTGACTCAAGGAGCCCCCTCCATGGCTGAAGCTGCAGTAACGCAAACCACATTGCAGTGGGTCTTATATTCCCCCCTTCCCACTGCCCTGGGAGGAAAGTTCCAGGCCTGAGTCTCCCCCGGGGGAAGTCGCTGGGCCTCAGAGGCAGGGCGGCCCGTTGGAGACACTGCAGCCTGCAGGGAGTCTGCTCGGAGTTTTGCCCGTGCCCTGCTGACCTTGCCTTCTTTCTGGCAGGGCGGGTCTTCTGGGGACCTGTTGATTTGTCTCTGTGCCCTAAAGTGATGCTTCAGTGCTCCAGGAGTCTGGTGCCCCAAGTGGAGAAGGGCCACCACCTCACTTGTCACTCAGCAAACACTCTTGGGCACAGCTCAGGGCCTGTGAGCTCGCCAGGCCCTGGGGGATGCAGAAGACACAGGCTTCCCTGGTGGGGCTCACACAGACCACTTGGGGACAGTTGGAGATGTCAACATGGATGCAGGCCCAGGGGGCACTGGGAAGGGCACATAACTAACTCAGCCTGGGGTTGGGGCATCCAGGAATTCTTCCAGGAGGAGGCAGTGCCAGACCCAGGTCATGAAGAAGTGGATTAGTTATCTCTTTGATCCTTGATTTTCTCATTGGTGAAATGGGCATAACAGAAAGCTTTAATTTATAGCACTGCTGTGAATTAAAGAGATAAAATGTGATGGAAATGAGATGAAACGTATGGCAGGCACTGTAGATAAGCATCCCAAAAGCCACTTACAACCCTCTTCCTCTTTGCCTTTTACTACCACTGAGGCTGGAAAGGCAAAACACTCATGCTCCCAGACTCCCTTGCAGTTAGAAGGGGCCATGTGACGTGATTCTGGCTGCATATACAGAAGTCTCTGTGGAGGGTTTACCTCGCTAAGTGAAAATTCTTTGCTCCTTTCCTGTCTTCTGCCTGGAAAGGAGATATGATACTGAGAGGCAGCAGCCATCTTGTGACTATGAGGTACAAACGTGAATTTGGGGCCTACACATTAAGCATGGAAGAGGCTGGGGACCTGATGGCACATGAACTGCCATGCCAGCCCTGGAATCTTCCTCCAGTTCTCCTTGTGTGAATGCTTAAACCACTCTATGTGGGGGTTTCTGCAATGGATTCCTTGTTCATACAGTACTAAAGTACCTACAGTAAGGCCTGATGCAAAAACTGTTCAATATGGGGTAGGGATGATTGAGGAGGAGGGAGAGAAGAGATCAAGTGTGTTCTAGGCAGCATTGCAAAGCCAGGAGCCTCAAGAGAACCATGGCATGCTTGAGGAGCATGGGACGGGCTGCTGGGTGAGGAGGCTGCGCTTGGGGGGCCTTGTGGGCTGTGCAAGAGCTAACAATTATCCGGAAGAAGAAGGGAGCAGAC